GAGCCGCATCGAATTCTGCAATTTCGTCCTGTGAGCGAATGCTGCATCCCTCCAAAAAAGGGGAGCTTTGCGGCCACCATCACCGCTGACCTTGTCTTGCTGCTCGTCGTCCCAAAAAGTCTGCTGTGCTTCTTTGTCTTGGCCTTGTGTGTAGGAGCTTCGTGCAGTGTCGTGGCCGGTGGGGACCTCTCCTTGAATCCTTTGCCTTCCTCCTCTTCCTTCCTCCAACACCAATCACAGGCAGCAAAAAGGATCCCAGACATGGACTGGCTGGGAAACAGTATTCACCATCTGGGTCTTTGGATTTGCGCTCGACGAAGCAGCCCAGCTTCAAGGTGAGTCCTGCATGATGCGATTCACACACTGCTCTCCTGCTGATACGACCCCGCTCCCTAGAGCACGGGGTCGAGGTATATGCGAGCTCATTGTACAATCTGCTCGAGTAAGTCTCGCGGACCTCCTGTTCGCACTGGCAGCTGAAACCTCGTCCATCGCGACAGCGCATCCTTCTGCATCGTCGCCTTCTCTTGGCTGGGTCTCCGAATCTCGGGGCTAGTCCACTCGGATGCCCTTAGGTGTGACCTGTCGTTCGACTGCTTGGCAGTGGGCGCAATCTTGCTTTGTCCAAGAGTCGCTTCGTCGCTGGTGCAGGACAATGTCATTCTTCTGGCGCTCAAGGCAATGTTTGCCGATTTTGCCTTTTTCATGCTGCTGGCATCCATCTGCTTCTCCGGCTTCCTGTACGCCTTTTGGTCGCTTTCGGACAAATCCGAGTGGACTGTGGGCAGCATCATGTGGTTGATGCTCAAGATTTGGTTCGGAAGCTCTTATATAGGATTCGATACGGCCACAGACTTTTCCCCCATCTTTGGCCCGCCGCTCATGGTGTTTTTTGCAATCATGGCCAACACGCTCCTCTTGACTGTCCTCATTTCGCTCTTGAGCAACACGTTTACCGTCGTCGCAACCAACGCAGCGGAGGAAGCCATGTTCCAGCACGCCTGCAAGACCATGCTGGGCGTAACGACGGACGCGCTCTTCTCCTACATTCCACCCCTCAACCTCATTGGCGTCTTGGTCGTGCTTCCCGCCAGCTACGTCCTAACGCCTCGCTGGCTGCACAAACTCAATGTGGCGCTCATTAGGGCAACGCACTGGCCGATGCTGCTCCTGATCAGAGCCACGCAAAAGAGGGGCTTGCGCGAAGGCGTCGAGCTGACAGCTAGCAGAGCTAGTCGAGCATTTTCGTGGATGCCGCTTCCAAGAAGTGGCAAGAGCGACATGGACATTGTCGATGCCGTTTTCTGCAGACCCCCGCCCGAAGACCAAGGCGGAACTCGAGACTCGCTTCCAACTCGCCATCGCAATGCAGACATGTCATTTCGCGAACGCGCAAAGAGCGGTGGACCGTCGTCTGCAAGTCTGCCTTCGGACCCAGAAGGCTGCTCGCAGGGTGCCGAAAGGCAGGCTGGGTATGGCGCCGTCGAGACGTCTGGCAAGCAGACCACGGTGCCCTTGCACGTTGACAAGGCTTCAGGCACCACTCGACCTAGCTCGAGAGAGCAAGAGACGCAAACGAAAGATGGCAAGAGATCCAGCAGTCCATCCGCCGCATCGAGAGCATTGGGAAACGCGCAAGGTGGAACGTTTGCATCTGCATCCAGTCGTCCCGACCACTCCGACCCTTCCCCAGCCTTTTCCTTGTCCAGTCCGCTTGCGCGCATCTTTTCTGGTGGTGGTGGCGGCAGAAGAGGAGGGCGAAATGCAGCCGTGTCGCCGCTCAGGCAAGCCCGGCCTGACAACGATGCTGCTGCTGATGCACGCCACTTCACGGATGAGGATGGAGATGGTGAAGGAGCAAGCACGAGAGACCTCTTTGTCGCGCTCAGCGAGAGACTGGACCAGCAAGAAAAGAGGAGCCGAAGAATCGAGGTATGTAAGGATGCCATTCGAGCTTTGCAGATGAAGAACGCTATTCGCTGACTGCACCGAGTAACTTCTCACTCCGTAGGAGCTTCTAGTCAGCGTGAGTAGAGAGAGCAGAGAGAGAGAGAGAGGGAGAGGTGCCGATGAGTTGTATGAACCATGATGCCGTAATGTCCGCATGCTGATATAAGCCTCCGCGTCGTATTGGCAAACCCATCAAGCTCGTGGAACGGCAAGCGCCGCTTGACGACGGACATGTTGATCTTGCTGCCGATGCATCTGGCCAGGCAAAAGCGGACAGAGCTGAAGAAGAAGCGCAACAGGCATCCTCTTCGGGATGATTGATGCAGTTGCATTCGACTGCTGCTAGCAGCTCGCCGTGGCACGTCCCCCTTAATGTCCTGACATGGTCCAAACTTGTAATTACTTGGCACTAGCTCGATAGACTCAGACAGCATCACGATGGGGGGGGGCCGGAACGATGACATGATTTGGAATTTCTTGCGCAAAAAAAAAGGTGTGAGACGTGTGACAAGACTAAAGACTTCCCCATCGAAATAGGGTAGAGCCTTCATTCGAGAAGACAAGTGAGCGGGGATGATGGGAAGATGAAAAAAGGTGGGTTGGGGGGATATCGATCACAGACCGGCATAGACGTTGGCACCTTCCGGCGGCCAAGGAAAAGGCAAGTCCGGCTGACCGCGCCCTACATTTCCCAAAAAGCCACCGCCACCGCCGCCGACACCGACACCGACACCAACGGCATCATCTCGATTCAACGGTGCCGCGTCGTTCGTGTCCGCAAGCCCAGGCGCAGGCGCAGGCGCACCATCTGCCCGATGATTTCTCCTCCGCTCTTCCTCCTCTCTCCTCTCTCGTTCCGCCCTCATCGCAGCGCCCTGTCGTACATACACCAGCACAGCCAGAGCAGCCAGACCAAAAACGATGAGAGCACCTTCGATCATTTCGTCCAGCTCCTCTTCTCTAGCCGCATCGAAGCGTCTCCCATCCCTCTCCCCACCATCACGCGACGAGGCGCC